TCCCTGGACTCTTGCTCTCGTACTTGCTGTGTAAGTAGATCTCTGTGCCAATACAGACTTACGTGTGAAAAGAGATGAGGGATCTGAATGTGTGAGGGATGGGGCTCCTCTGCACAAAAGGAAAGCTTGTGTGAATGGCTTTAAAATTTAAAATTATACATTCTGCCTGGAACGTGGCGGTTCTTGACCAGGACTCAAAGTCTGGTCTGGAAAGAACATGTTTGAGTGCTTAGTAATCACAGATCTGAGCACTGGTTGGCCTCTCAATTTTGTTAAATTGGCAGAGGCGATGGCACCAGTTCTCACAGCCTCCTGCAGCGCTGCCCTCAGTGCCCAGACCTGCCGTGCTCTGTGTGTTGTGCTGCATCACAAAATGGGCAGGATGTTTGCCAAGCAGCATCCTGACCAACCTTCTAACGTGCGTTCCCACTCACCCCAGTGCTCCTCGTCCTGCTGTGGCCCCTCGCCGTGTACCACCGGCTGGGGCAGCGCATGTACCTGCGGCTGGAGCCGGCTCTGCAGCGGCTGGACTTCAGCGTCCGGGGATACATGATAGCCCGGCAGCGGGAGAGGCAACGTGAGTGCTGTGCCACTTCTGACCCCTCAGACCTTGGTCCTTGGTGCCTGAGGTGGGCTGTGAATGGAGCCCCCGGCCCTGGCAGGGGGTGGGAGTGCATGTCTGGCATGGCAAATTCTTGGAGCTGCCTTGGGAAGGGAGCGAGGCAGCTCTGCCTCCACAGCCACCTGCCAGGGAGCAGCTGCCGTGGGATCTTCATGGCGCTGAGCTGCTCCAGTTCTCGGCTGCCAGAGCTCTGTGTTCCATATGATGGTTGCGCAGAAAAAGGAGGAAGGGATCAGTGCAAGGGAGTGCTAAAACATGTTCGGCAAAAAAACCTGCCGCAGCCGCAGTCAGGAATTATCACAGCTCTGCTGCGGAACAGAGCTGGCTCTACTGTCCAGCTTGGGGTGTTGTGGTTCTGCACAGAGCCCTATCCCAGCAGCAGTAACAGCGTTGGCTCTGGTTTCTGGCAGTGCGTGCCCAGGCCCTCGGTCAGGAGGCCACGGACGATGGGAGCGACAGCGAAGAGGAGCTGGCTGCATTCTGCCCCAAGGTAACGGAGTGTCTGGGAGAGGAGAGAGCTTGGCTGGACAGAAAAAACAAAGTAGCTGAATGTGATGGGAGAGCAGATGAGGACATTCCCCTTCCAGAGAGGTCTTTCCCACTCTGTCCCCACTCAAGGATGTCCAGAGCTGCTCATGCCAGCTGCAGGCTCCTAAGCTGGGCAGTACACATGAATGAGCCTTAGGTACCAGCCTCCTTTGAGGGCTGGGTTTAACTAGAGGCCACTGGGTCATCTATTTTATCTTGAGGCACAGGAATAAGCTCTACAATGCTGATGTTTTCAATTTTATCTCCTATTTCAAAGCTGGATGACTCTGTGGTCGCCAAGGAACTGACCATCTCTGACTCGGAGCATTCAGATGCTGAGGTTTCCTATACTGAAAATGGGATATTTAACCTTTCAAGGGGCCAGACTCCCCTGACAGAGGGATCAGAAGGTGAGAGGAAATGGGCAGCTTGTGGAGGGTGTGGAATGCCAAACAGGCGCCAGTGTGACGGGTTGGAGGGCGGATGTGTTGTTACCTCATGTCCTTGAGGTCTGGCTCTTTGATGTCAGCCTTGCTGCTGCAGATGAGCTGCAACTGCCTGTTTTGTTCAGAGCGTCCTCCTTCATTCCTGTGGTGCTTGAGTAGAGCGACAGCAGCTGCTCTGCAAAGGCAGATCCAGCTCTGCCAGTCTGACTGTGGGCGCAGAAGCAGTGTGGTTGGGGGTGTGGGTGCTCCCCTCTGGCAGGTGACTGGTTTGGCACCCGCATTCCTTGTGAATGAGCTGGGAGATCAGTGGGATCCAAATAGCTGGGATGGGGAGGAGGGCGAAGTTGAGGAGCGTGTGGTCTGTGAGATGCCAACAGCCTGCCCTGGGGAGGTGCTGGCCCAGCTCCTGATGGAGCCTGCGGGTGCTGGGCGAGTGCCAGCATTTAAAGCACTTTCTCCTCTTCCAGACCTGGACGGACACAGTGACCCAGAAGAATCATTTGCCAGGGATCTCCCTGACTTCCCTTCCATCAACCCAGAAGCAACTGGCATAGATGATGAAGACGACACCAGCATTGGGATCCCAAGCCTGGCATACCGCCCACAAGGGACAGAGGATCTGCATCTCCCGTACGACCAGGAGGAGTCTGGCGCGCTGCCGTCGGTGCAGAATCTCACCAACAACATCGCTGGCTTTGTCACCAGGGGGATGATCCAGCTGGCACTGTCAGGAGCCCCTCAGCCAGGCTCCTCACGCAGCACCAATCCCCAGAGAGGGGCAAAGACTCACCTCAGAGCAGTCAGCTCAGACTTGGACACTGATGCCGAAGGGGATGATTTTGAACTGCTGGATCAGTCTGAGCTGAACCAGCTGGATCCTGCTGGCTCCCGAGGCCAGTAAGCCATCCCATCACTTCCCTCTGGTTTTCTATTGCGCCTCACGGAGGGAATCCTGGAAGGAAAAGCCTTGCACAGTTCTCTCAATCGTCTCCTGTGAGTCTGAGTGACGTGACAGCCAGTCCTGGCTGGGAACATCACTGTGACTTGTGACTCTGTAGCCTCGCTTGGATTTTAAAATAAAGGACACTGGTAATCCCTAGGGAGAGACATTGATGGGATAGGTCCACAATCACCCTGTGCTGTCTGACAGGATGCTGCCTGCTCCAAACTTCCTCACCTAAGACAATAAATGTGGTGTCTGCAGCTCTCGAGGCCGGTGGGACCGACGGCATTGCCAGGGACAATCGTGCACTGACCTCTGGGGCTGATGCACAACCAGGGGAACAGGATGAGGCCCTTCAGGCTTGGTGTCTGGGACTCAGTGCTGTTCTGTCTCAGACAGCCAGTCCCTGCTCCTAAAACATTCACAAATCCAAGTCTTCTCTCCCAGCAATATCCAGCTCCAGGTGGAACCAACCCCCTTGCTCCACTGTGGACGTTGTGCAGCTGCAATGTTTTCCTTGCACTGGCCACTCCCTCGGCTCCAGCTCCTCATGATGCTGTTTTTTAAGAGCTCAATGGCAATAAGACACCTGCTGTGACCACCAGAGTCCTGCAAGAATATCCACGTGTGGCCCCTGCTCTTGTGTTGCTTTCCTGAACTAACAGCCTTTCTTGAGAGCCAACTAACACTTTGCTAGAACTCCCTGTGCTCCCACCCTCGTGTTCTCCTGGGCAGGGCCGAGGTTTCCTGGAGGAGGGAGGCAGTGGGACAGGGGTGCCTGGGCAGTTGTGTGTCCCCCTGGCCCTATTGTGTCCAGCCTTGTGCAGGCAGAATCCACGGACAGGGGACACCAGCCCGGGCTGCCAGTGACTGAGGAGCTCATGCCCACTGCGGTCCCGTGAACAAACCAGCAGCCCCCGGGGAGAGCCGCCCCTGCTGTGTCCGCCGAGCTCCCCCCCTTGCTTTTCCTAAGCCATAGACCCGGTTCTGATCACGTTTGTGCAGCCAAGAACGTACCTCGGCAGGGACCCCATTACCGGCTGCTGTTTGTCTGACTTCGCCTGCCCGAGCGCGTCCGCCGTGCCGGGGCCGCAGCCAGGGGGGAGGCGGGGCGGGGCGGCAGCCTCAGACCCGGGAGTGGGGGTCGGTAACGGGTTATTCCATGGGGGCCTGAGGCGTCTCACGGGCCGAGTTGCGGTGCGGAGCCAGGGCGCGGAGGCTGCGCTGCTGACGCCGCGGCGGGAGGGCCGGGCGGGGGGCGGTGGGTGCCCGCCCGGAGCCCCCGCCCGCCGGTCCCGCCTCCCCGGGGCGCGGCTCCCCCGCCCATCGGCGCCGGCCCGGGCCCTGTTCCCGGTCGGACGGAGCGCGCGGCGCGCCGGAAGTGCCGCGAGCGGCGCCAACCGGGGCCGGACCGGGGCGGGAGGAGCGGGATGAGCAAGGGGCGCGAGGCCGCGGCGGGCGGTGAGTGCGGGTGGGCCGGGGGAGCCCCGGGCGGCGGGTGCGGGAGGGGGAGCCCGGGGCGGCCGCTGCGGTGCCAGAGGAGGCCGCGGTGACCGGGGCCGGTCCCCCAGGAGGCGGCGCCGCCGCCGTCCTGCTGCGGTACCTGCGGGAGCAGAACCGTCCGTACAGCGCCCAGGACGCCTTCGGGAACCTGCAGCGGGAGCACGGGCTGGGCAAGGCGGTGAGCGGGGCCGGGGCGGGGCGGGGCGGGCGCGGTCCCAGTCCCTGTCGCGGCTGACGGCGCGTCCCGCAGGCCGTGGTGAAGGCGCTGGAGCAGCTGGCGCAGCAGGGCCGCGTGCGCGAGAAGGCCTACGGGAAGCAGAAGATCTACTTCGCCGACCAGGTGAGCCCCGGCCGCGGGCGCCCTCTGCCCGCTCCAGCCCTCCCTGACCACCCCTCCCCGCAGGAGCAGCTCCCGGCCGCCAGCGATGCCGAGCTCCGCGGGCTGGACGAGGAGATCACCGCCCGCTCCGCACAGCTGCAGGCGCTGCAGCAGAGCTGCCGGCACATGGAGGCGGGTGAGTGCGCCCGGGCGGCCCCGTGGGGTCAGGGACAGGCTCAGGTCCTGGCTCTGCAGCCACCGGGAGGGTCCCCAGGGCACGGGCAGCTGTGCCCCGGTGCCGGCTGGCAGCCCGGCCAGTGAGTGGTGCCGCCTCCCCAGAGCTGAAGGACTTGAACAGCTCCATGACAACTTCCGAGATGGCCAAGGAGATCGAGGCGCTGAGGAAGGACTGTGCCAGTTACACAGAGAAACTGGAGAGGATTAAATCTGCCACCAACCACGTGACTCCAGAGGAAAAGGAGAAGGTAAAGACCTGCCAGGGCTGAGCCTGGTGCTGGGCTGGGCCTTCACCGGGATCCAGCACATCTCTGATGGGCATTCCCAACGTGGTGCTGTTGGCAGGTGTGCCGGGAGCAGCAGCTGTACCGCCGGGAGTGGCGCCGGAGGAAGCGGATGGTACTCACTGGGGGCTGGGGGTCAGTGCTGGCCCTGCTGGGACGGGCCCCCCACAGCCCCTGACATGCCCTGTCCTGTCAGGCCACTGAGCTGCTGGATGCCATCCTGGAGGGGTACCCCAAGAGCAAGAAGCAATTCTTCGTAAGTACCGAGGCTGGAACTTGCCCAGGGCTGCTGAGCCAGGCCCTGACCTGCCCTGACCCACCGGTGCTGTACAGGAGGAGGTCGGGATAGAGACGGATGAGGAGCATGGCGTGGTGCTGCCAGCGGCCCTGTGAGGGGCTAGGGGAGCCTTTGCCCCGGGGAGAAGCTGCTGCTGTGGAGCTGCTGCTGAAACTTGGCTGTTGGGTTGTTCTGTTTCTCTTTTTGCAGGACCTGGGCTCATCCCGCGTATTTATGTGTTTAAAATTCTTTTGCAGTTGGAAGGGTGGTGGGTGGGAGAGACTTGGCACTGGCCCTCTCCTTGCAGAGGGATGTTGTTTCTTCCTGCCCCTCAGCACAGGGAGCTGCCAAACTGGGGTCCAGTGGGGCTGAGGAGAGGTGTGGGGGCACTGGTGCTGTGTCCCTGCTGTTCTGGTAAGAAAAGGGATGTGGGGGAGGTGGGGGGGCACTGGTGCTCCAGTACGGAAAGAGTGAGGGACTGTCAGGGCTGCATAGCTCTGTATGTGATCCAGCCCCTTCTTGCCGTGTGCCTGAGTGGTCACACAAGAATATGATCCATTAAACACCAGAATTTTGGTTCAGCTGTGCTTCCCTGTGGTGTTTGTCTGTTCAGAGGGTGTTGGGGCAGGGTTTAGGTCCTGAGGGGTGGGAAGGGTGGGAGCCAGGAGAGGGTAACATGAACCACAGAGACTGGAATGGGCTTCTGGAAACTACTGGCTCTAGGGCCCAGCTCTAGGAACACAGCAGCAGAAAAATCACTAAAACATTCAGCAATATTTAATTACTTTTCTCAATAGAAAAATACATCACTTTCATGTGTGAGGTCTGTAAAACTTCTCATCCTCCTCCCAAGGCAGGAAGCAACACTCCCTCCTCAGCTCTGGGAACAAAACAGCCTGAAATAAACACTCCCTGGCTGTGCCCCTGGAGCAGGAGCACAAACATGGTTACAGAGAACAAATCCCACTATCCCATTACCCTGGGCAATGACCAACCATCAGCTGGGCAGAGCTGTGACCCAAACTGGGCGTGAGACAGGGGCAGAGGTGTCCCTGAGAGCAGCTGCCTGCACAGCTGGCACTGGCAGCACTCCAGGACCATTTCAGTGATTTACAAAAATAAAAATCAAATCAAGGCTGGTCATGGATGTGTGTTTAAAAATTCTAAGGAGGGGCGGCAAGTGCATGTGGCCACATTGTGCTGCAGCTGCAGAACATTCTGTGCAGCACAGCCACAGCCAACCCGAGAGGGAGCTGGATACAGTCCAGCGCTTGCAGGAACTTCCTGTGTCCCTACCAGGGAACCCACAGCTGCAGGAGCACCCTGGCACTGAGGGGCTCATCCTGCTGCCAGCACTGACAGGCTCTCCCAGAACACATCTGCCTCAAAACAGCTGCTTCAGAGGGAGGGGGGAGACAGTCCAGAAGTTGGGGAGAATCTATTCCTACTGTTTCACCAGAAACCCATCATTTTTAGCACACATTCATCGCATTTCCCCAGCCGGGGTCAGCGGGGCTGTCAGAGGCCTGAGGGCACAGAGCAGAGCTGCTCCAGGGTCAGCTCTGCAGGGAGAGTCGGTGGCACAGGCAACCTCACAGCACTGCCTGAGCCACAGACTCTGCCCTCACTCCTCTGCTCCACATTCCCTTTGCCTCCCCTCTTGCCCAGTCCCTACCAAGACTCGGTAACACCGAGCAGAGCAGCTGTGTCTGCACGGCCACCGTTGGGCTTCGGAGGGAATACAATAAATAATTCAGAAAAGCTCAAAAACAGCCACGAGGGCGAGGGTCCAGGAGGGTGCCTGTCCCCCAGGCCCCTAGGCAGGAGGTGCCCTGTCCCCACAGGCACAGAGGCAGCGGAGGAGGCTCAGTAGAGCTGACTCTTCACCTGGTGCAGAACCCCGATGACAACGTCCCGCAGTGTCTGCAGCAGAGAGGGGACACGGTCAGTCAGTCTGTAGGGCAACAGCTGCCCCCATGCCACTGTCTCTCCCCCTGGGCCATGGCACCAGTGCTCACCTGGGGCTTGCAGTGCTCCTCGATCCAGCTGAACACACACGCTGAGAGCTCCTGGAAACTTGTTACAGAGATGGAGGCATTGAAGGACTGGAACAGGGAATCCATGATGCCTTGGAAAACATTGAATTTCACTTCATCAGAGACCTGGTCCTTCCCTTCATTTGGGTTGTCTTGATGAGCTTTCACAATCTGCTCATAGTTCCTGAAACAAGTATAGGGCCTCAAGGTCAGCGATGAGGCGTCTGCACCCAGCTCCTGCTCCTGGTTCTGAGCTCCTGCTCCCAGCTCCCACACCCAGCTCCTGTGCTCAGCTCCAAGCCCCAGGCCTGTTCCCAGCCAGAGAACCTCTGGATGACCCCTGGCAGCTCTTCCCTGCAAGGACATGGGGGAACAGCAGGAGGAGGGCATGACCCTGACAGCTCTTCCCTTACACTTTCATGATCTTCAAGGCCATCACATCTTTCCTGAGGGTAGAAACTTCCTCCTCCTGCTTCTTCTTTTCCTTGTGCAGGAACTGGATGTAGTCAATGGCTGAGCATGAAAACACAGAGTGAGGATTTGGGAGCACACACAGGCCCCTGAGACCCCCACAGGAGGTGCCCAAGCAAGGGCAGCATCAGCTTCCGCTGCCCCAATTCCCCTGGGGCAGACAGGCAGGTGCAGGTGAGCAGCACCTGAGCTCCCCAGAGCTTCATCGCACCACAAGGTCCCAAGGTGCTGAACTCTGCCCTGCACAGCTCTAGGGAGGCATTCTGGGGGATTGACAGCAGCCCCTTCCATCTCCCCACCCCCTGGGACTCACTTTTCTGGAGGACAATGGCCTTGCTCAGCTTCTGGGAGCCGATAGAGAAATCCTGCTGCTCGCAGGTGGGGACGATGGCCTGCAGGTCATCGTAGCCTTTCTGGGGGGAAGCAGAGCCACAGCACGTGGAGTTCACCCTGTGGGGCTGGGCCCACACCCAGCTCCCACCACACAGCCCATCAGGGCCAGGGCAGCTCCCAGCACACAAGGAGCCTCCTGGAGAGGGCAGATCCAGCAGCTCAACAGGGGCAGCGCTGGGTGGGATATGGCTCTCCCCTCACCTTGATGGCATCACGGCGCTTCTGCTCAGCCTGGGTGTGTGCGCGGCGGCGCCGGTCCTTGTACGACTCCTTGTAGGGCTCCTGGTGGTAGTCACTGTCCTCATCGTCTGTGGGGACAGGGCACGGCCCGGGGTTGAGGAAGCAGAGGCACGAGGGGGCTGTGGCAGCTCCGGGCCCAGCACAGCCCCTGCCCACTCAGCTCCTGCAGGCTGGGCCAGGGACAGTGCCCCGAGGGGCCCCACCGACCTCTCCCCTCTCCCTGTGGAGCTGCACAGGAGGCACCTGCTGTTTCCACCACCTCCCTCCTCCTCCTCAGGGTGGGAACCCTGCCCAGCCCCCTTAGCGCAGGGCAGAGCTGGAGCCCGGCAGGTGCTAGGCTCCCCCAAAAGCAGAGACACTGCGGTCCCGGGAGCCAAACCCCACCTGTGTTGGGGACAGAGGAGGCGCTGGTAGAGCCGATGCTGTTGGCCCGGGACACTATGCTGCTTTTCCGGGCGTTCTCCATGAAGAGCGCTGAAACAAGAGTGTCCCGGGGTCAGTGCCCAGCGCGGGGTGTCACCAGGCGCAGGAACAGGGGGTGTCCCCGGGTGGCCGCTGCCACCCTGGCGCGGGGGTGGCACCTACCGGAGTCCAGGCCATTGTCGCCGTAGGCCGCGTCCACCTGCGCGGGGCCGGTGGAGACACGTCAGCGGGGCCGGGCTGCGACCGCGGCCCGGCCCCCGAAGCCCCCCCGGACCCGCCCGAGCAGTGCCCGCCACCCCCGGGCTGCGTCCCCGCTGGGATCTCCGGCCGCCGCCCCCCACACAGGCAGCGATCCCCCGCGCGCTCCTCGCCCCGGCGCTCACCCCGCCCGCCTGCCCGCCCTCCGTGGCGCCCGCCCGTCGCCCCGTGGCCCCGGCGGCGCTCCGGGCCCGGCCCCACCTTCCCCCACGGGTCCTCGCCCCCGCCCGGCGGCTCCGCCATCTTCCGCCCGCCCGGTCATGTGACCGCGCGGGGGCCGACGGGAATCGCGCCCCGCCGCGCGCCACCAGGGGGCGCCCGCGCCTCTGTGTGGGTGTGACGTTATGGCCAGGACACCGTCGCTGTGACGTAATCTCCAGTGACGTCATCGCTGCCGTGCGTCCCCAATGCGGCACCTCCGAGCCCCGCGGGGCCGGGGGCCACGCCCATAATGGCAGCTGGGAGGGGCCGGGGGCAGCGGAGCCCCTGTGGAGGTGGGTGGGGGGACAGAACTGGCACAGTGACACGGGACCGGCACACGGACATGCACAGTGGGAGCAGCCTCTTTACTGGCACCCAGCGGGGCTCAGCCCTGCAGGGTCCCCCGCACTGGGGGACGTCAGGACGCCCTGGCCCCTCCATGGAGCCGGATGGGCTCGGTGGGCTCGGTCCCGCGCTGCTCCGTCCGCCAGCTCTCGCAGGGCAGTGGTGGACACGGACCCTCCCAGGGCCGTGCAGGACTGCCCCTCACAGGTGGGGGTCGTGGCTGGGCTCTGGGCGCAAGCGCTGCTGCAGCAGGTCCCAGGCCTTCTGCACCTGCCAGAGAACCACCCAGGGCAGCACCTCAGAGCCCACGGACCCCGAGAGCGGCACCTTGGCACAGGGTCACACAAGGGTCCCATGCCTCCTCTCCCTTCCCAGCTGCATCTACATCCCCAAATCCCTCCCTCGTGGCCATGTCCAGAGGCAGCCTCGATGGTGAGAGCACACCCAGGCACACAGTGCCCAGCCCAGGCACAGCACTGAGCCCTCTGGTCCCCCCGGACACCCCCAGTGCTGCGGCAGCCCCGGGCTCACCTGCTGCCGGGTGACATCTGGCTCCCAGAGGGTGCAGAGCACCACCTGTGCCCACTCCACCCGCTGCCTGTTGGTCATCTGGCTCTGCAGCCGGCAGCGAGCGGCCTCCTCGCTCAGCCCATCCCTGGCCACAATGCGCCTCACGGCCTGGCAGGGACAGAGGGGACACTCAGGGGAGGCTGAGGACCAGCTCTGGCAGCGAGCAAGGGGCCCAGGGCATGGCTCACCTCCTCCTCTGGGATGATGGTCGTCCACACCTCGTGGACCATGTCCTGCCACCCGGCCTCCAGCAGCACAGCAGCATCCAGCACACACACGGCCTTCCCTGCGGAACAAGGGCATTCCTCAGTGCCTGGCCATGGATGGAGCGATGGCTCCTCGGCTCTGGCCCAGCCTGGGCTCAGCTTCCCCCTTCCAGCAGCACAGACACTTCACTGCTGAGCTGAGGCTGCAATGGAGCTGCCCCCATTACCTTGAGAGTCGGCCTCCCGGATCTGCTCCCTCGCCATCCGGGCTATCTCAGGCCACACAATGTCTGTCAGGCTCTTCAGCCGTTCCTACAAAGGACCAGGGCAGGATTCGGGATTTGGTCCCTTACTCTCAGAACTCCTGGGCAGCCAACAAGGGGATGGTGGCTGTCAGCAGTCAGGGGGCACCCAGGAAGGTGGGGGGGTATTATTTTCCTTGCCCTGCCAGGCATAGCAGACCCTTGGTCTCTGCTGCCCCTCAGCACAGTGAGGTCCCGGTGCAGCAGCACCCACATGAGAGCCATCCACCCAGGGGACCCCTCAAGCTGCCTCCACCTGGGACTGGGGCAGCACCGGAGCCACAGGCAGAGCACTGGCCCCACCAGCAAGGTCAGGTGTCACTGAGCTCCCTTGGGTACAAGGGGCAGAGAGCACCAGCTCCACATACGTCAGGGCTGTTGCTCCACACTGGGTGAAGGAAAAGCATGGGATAGAGGGGACAGGGATGGGGAGACAGCAGCAGCTGCAGGGCAAGAGGACTATGTCCAGCACAGCTGCTGACTCAGCTACAGAGACAGATCTGTCCTGCCCTGTCACTGACAGGAAGTGTAGCCAGGAAGGTGTCATCAGTTCAAAGGACTGAAAACTAAAAAGCCTCAACAGAAGGGGAGAGCTCCCCTGGCTCATGGGATTAAACACTGAGTCTCCGTGCTGCTTCTACCTGGTTTCCAAACACTTTGGCCCCAAGGACTTTCCTGTTAATCGTCCCATCTTCATTCAAGATCTCTGCAAGACAGAAGCACAACAGGTTTGGCAGGAACAAACCCGACTCCTATCCCTGGGGCAAGCCTGGGTCAGGGAAACATCTTTGGCACAGGGCTCTCAACAGGACACAGAAAGGGCCTGTAAGATCTGACCTGGCAGCTCTTCACCTGACTCATGAAAAGGACAGGGGAGAGCTCATCCCAGGCAAACAGCAGCCCAGTTCAGCCTTCCCCACCAGCAGTTCTGACATGGGACACACGACATTTGGGGAGCCCAAAACCCATGGGACAGGAGGGGGGCACAGGCCAGGGCTCCTTGGGATGTTGGGACACCCCTCCCTCCTCCTCCTCCTCCCAGTCCTTCCCACAACCTCTGGTGGCTCTACCTGCCCCAAAGGCTGCCACTACTTGCTCGTAGGCCGGGCCACCAGGGACATAGACGGCGTGGCCCAGCTTGTCAGCATCGATGACAAAGGCGCCCAGGTGCCCCAGGAGTTTGGCGATGGAGGTTTTCCCACTCCCAGTGCCCCCAGTGAGCCCAATCACATACGGGCGTGATGGCAAGGCCGGGTCTTGCTAAGGGAAGAAGGAAAGCCATGGCAGCAAACGGAGGACTGGGCTTTGCTGGAGAAGGATCCCAATGCCCCAGCCTGGAGATGGGCATGAAAGGATCTGGCCTGCAGAGCAGCAGGAGCACGGCCAAACTCTGTGGATCCCAAGATTCCCACCCCTCCTCCCGGGCACACCGCTCCCATCACAGCCGTGGTTCTCCCTCACCCGTGGGGGCTGCAGCAGCGTCCCCAGCAGCCTCTGCCGGAGGCTGGAGGAGCTGATCTTCTCCTCCTCGTTCTGTTGGTGGTCAGGGTCCTTCATCAACTGGATCTCATGGAGAGCCAGCTCAGGGAGCCCCTGAGGAGAGAAGGAAGCCCCAAGGACCATCAGCTGTAGGAGTGTGGCGGGCGAAGGGGAGAACTGAGACCCGATTTGCCCCCAGGCAGTGGCAGGCAGGGGCGAGAGGGGGGCAGGGGCAGCCCTGGGCTCCGGCGTGGGAATTACGTTTTCAAGCCTCTTCCTATTCACAGTCTCCCCTCCCCGGCGGGTCTCCTCGCTGACCACCAGGCACTGCAAGTCGGGGTCTGTGACAGAGGGGCCGAAGGGGTCGGCCAGAGGCACGATGTCGTAGCTCAGCGAGGGCTTCACGTCCTCCAGGAACTCGCGGAGCTTTGCTGCTCGCAGCTCGTAGGGCTCGATCAGCTCCGGCAGAACCTTGTCTACCAGGTGCCGGGAGGGTGGGGAAGCACAAGAGTGACAGAAAAACAAGACCAGGAGAAGGGAGACAAAACTCGTCCATGACTTTGAGTGGCTGCTCCCTCCTGCCCTTGCTCCCGCTGCACCCACACACCTTGCTAGCTGTGGACAGGACACCAGTTCCCCACCGGGTACCCAGTGTCACCTTGCCTGGGTGGCACCGCTTTGGGTGGGTGGCTGCCAGGACCCCCCGTGTCAGCGGTCCCCCAGACCACCGCCCTGCCCCGGCCAGCACCGGGCTGACCCCTCGGCCACCCCGGACTCACGGCGGAGCAGGTCTCCGTCGGCCACCCCAGCCAGGAGCCGCCGCCGGGCCAGGAGGCAGCAGGCGCTGAGCAGGAGCCGGTGGGCGCCGTGGAGCCGGTCGAAGGTGCCGCCGACCGCTACGTCCAAGAATTCGGGGAGCGTCGCGTCGGGATCCTGCTCGGGGTCCCCCTCGGGGTCCCCGCCGCCGGTGTCCTCGCCCAGCAGCAGCGCGGGCAGGCTCGGCGGGCAGCCGTACACGGCCGCGGCCAGGCGCTGTAGCCCGAGCTGCACCGGCTCCGGCGGCCCCGGCGCCTCGGCGGCGGCCGCCAGCAGGACACGGGGCGGCCGTGCCAGGCGGCGGCCGGGGCCGAGCAGGACGCGCAGGTCCAGCCCCCGCCGCGCCGCCGCCGCCTCGTACAGCGCGGCCAGAGCCCGCAGCAGCGCGGGGCCCGCGGGCGGCGCGGCGGGGCCGGGGCCGGCGGGGCCGCTCAGCCGCAGCCCCGGCTGCAGGTGCACGTACAGCGGCCCCGCCACCAGCCCCGCCGCCGCCGCCACCAGCCCCGCCGCCCGCCGGGGCAGCGCGGGCAGCGGCGCCGTCAGCACCAGCAGCCCCGAGGGGAAGGGCGGCATCGCCCCGCCGGATGCGCCGCCGACCGGAACGGGGACGGGACCGGCACCGGAACGGCACCGCCTCCCGGGCAGCCCCGGCGCGGCTCCGCCCGCGGGAGGAGGAGACCGGCAGGCCCGGCCCCAGTGCGGCCCCGCCCGGGCGAGACTGAGCGACAGGACGGAGCCGGAGCTGTGCGGATGCAAAGGGCTTTATTGGGGACACGGCAGGACCGATCCCCCACGGCAGCGGGTCCCGGTGTCCCGGCGGCTCCGCTCAGGGCTGGTCCCCGCTGACTTCGCTGCCGCCGAACACGAAGTCGTGCATGGCGCGGACGTACGCGGAGCCGTCGGGGCTGCCGAGCCGCAGGCGCCAAAGCGGGGCGAGGAGCTGGGTGCTGGCGCAGCGCAGGGGCGGGCAGAGGCTGACGATGGCCTCCAGGAACACCTGGCACCGCAGAGGGGTCAGAGCCGTCTGCGGCGCGGCTCCACGGCCACCCCCCTCCCGCGCGGACTGACCGGCAGGACGTCCTCCACCTCCTGGGCCGCGTCGCGGAAGAGGCTTTGGCAGTGCCGCAGGTATCGGCGGTACAGCCCCCGCGTCTCGGCGTCCAGGCCCTCCAGCTCGCTGCCCTCGGGGTCCGGGCACTGTAGGTTGGCCAGGAAGCTGGTGTGGACGGGCCCGCACTCCACCAGTGTCACGCTGCGGGAAGGAGCGCGTGAGACGGCACCGTATCCCCGCCCTGGCATCTCCCCGTCCCGATGGGCGGTCTGCAGGATCCAGCCCCCGCGGCGCCGCCAGCACTCACTGGATGTTGAAGGGGCGCAGGACGATGGCCAGGCTCTCGCACAGCCCCTCCACCGCAAACTTGCTGGCGCAGTACACGGCATTGAAGGGTAGCCCTGGGGCAGAGCCGCACCCTGAGCACCGGGGCTCTTCCCCGCAGCTCCCCACGCCCCAGGGTGCCGGGTGTCCCACCTTGCAGCCCCCCGATGCTGCTGGAAACAATGATCCGCCCGGCCCTGCGGCGCTTCATGGCGGGCAGGAATGCCTGGATGGTGCGGACGGCCCCAAAGAAGTTCACATCGAAGAGGGTTTTCATGGCCTGATCGGAGCAGGTCTCCAGAGGTCCCATCAGTCCCACCCCCGCGTTGCAGACTGCTGGGCAAGGTGCAGTCAGCCAGGCATTGCAGCCCCCACACACCACCGAGTGCCAGAAAGCAGGAATGGGGGGGCCTTTCCATGCTGATGGGCCCTTGGCACCCCCAAGCCCATCTCCTGCATGCCTGCCCCACTGAACATGTCCCATCCCAGCCCCAGGACTACTGGCATCTCCCATGATTTGGCATCTATATTCTGGGAGGCTTGTGACCCTGAAGATGTCCCCCCAGCCACCCAAGGGATAGAGGGGCAATGGGAAGAGTCATACCCAACACGTCCAGGCGCTGCTCCTGCACCCGCTGCACGGCGGCTGCCAGTGAGTGTGGGTCGGTGACATCGAGCTGCAGGACCTCCAGCGTGTCAGGGCAGTGGCTGCCCAAGTGCTCCAGCAGCCGCTCACCCTTGGCCAGGTCACGCATGGTGGCATAAACTGAGGAGAGAGCGTGGCCGTGGGCAGCAAGGCCACAGAGCCCACCCCCCACAGGGCTGACCCCAGCCCACCCCCAGGCACTGTCTGTCCTTGTTGAGGTGTTGCCTGGCCCAGCCCGGAGACCCCCAGGGGTGCTGGACCCCCCAGGGCAGCATTGTCCCTTTACCTTTGAAGCGGCGAGTGCTGTCGGCCGCCAGGCGTGCGGCCAGTCCCAGCCCGATGCCCGAGGAGCAGCCCGTGATCAGCACCGTGGTTCTCTCCATGGCAAGCGGTGCTGGCCGAGGGGGCCGTGCTGCTTAAAAGGGCTGGGAGGGGGGTCCCTCCACCCCACACCACATTGTTGTGTCTGCTGCCTTATCTCAAGGCCCCTCCACAGACCTCCCTGTGCGTGCCTGGGGCTCCCTGTGCCTTGATGATCTCGCAGGTGCTGCGATAACGACCCGCAGGGGGAGGCTCTGGGGCACAAGGGGAGCTGCAGCCCTGGGGAATCTGCACCAGTCGCCAGTCACGCTGTGCCGTGCCAGGCGCTCCAGCTCCCAGGACTTGCCTGGCAGTGCATTGTTCCTGCTATGTGGGCTTAGAGCCAAGCTGCTCCTCTACCCCTTGTGTTCCACACAGTCCTGCACTGGGGAGACGAGTTGGACACGCATAGGAGAAAAAAAGTCTTTATTTGCTCCACAGCTGGGCTCTACCTGAGCTCCAGCTGGAGAAAAGGCCTCAAAAACCACATCCTGATGGAGCACGGCCCCAGCAATGCTGCAGGAAATGCCACTAAGTCTTTTATGATACAGAAGGCACCAAACATGGGCAGGGCCATGCAGTACTGGGTCCCTGCAGGCACTGGGGTCCAGGGTTGCTCTGTCCCCACACCACTGCCACCTCCCTGTCTGCTTCTCCACCATCACTGCCCCTGCAAGCCAGCCAGGGCCCCACAGCAGGGACACGTCTGTCCTGACCCTCTGCAGAATCCCCCCAAGCTTCCAACTGGGAGCACTGGGGCAGCCCAGCTTTCCAGGGGATAGGCTCAGGGCAGACAGGCAGGGCTGGGCACAGAGCACAGTGCAGGATGTGCCCCTGGGGCACAGCCTGCCCCTCATCCATCTGCTAGCCCCCCTCAGGGCACGTCCTGCCTACACAGGAGAAACAAGGGGTCCAGGCTGGCTGGGTGCCACCAGGGCTCTGTGCCCCCCTTCCAGTAGACCCAGGACGCAGCCATCAGGTCAGGAGTTGCAGGAGCCTTGACCAGGAGGGTGCGAGGGCTCTGCCCTGCCTTCCTCTCCCTTCCTGGAGGAGGCTCCGGAGGCACAGTCCAAAGTCATGCCAGCCTAGCCTGGCTGCGCCACAGGGCACTGGGGTAGTATTTGAGGAACAGCTTCCTGGAGATCTCCAGTGTGTCCCCAGCTGGCACGGCCGGGTAGCGCTTCTTGTTGTAGACAAAGCCTCTCTCCACTTGGAAGACAGCCTGGTTGAACTCGTCCTGGTGGAAGGGGCGGCCCGAGTTGAGGCTTTCCACCAGCACAGAGACGAAGAGGCTCCAGCGCACTCCATAGTAGTCCAGCACCAGCCCCCCCAGCTGCTTGTTGGCATAGTCCAGGATGTTCCCACTGGGCCCCCAGAGTGTCACCTGGTTCCGGGCATTCAGCTCGTACTGCTCTGCCTCCCGGTCGCTGGTGGCCATGGCACGGGCACTCTCCAGCCAGCGGCCGAGCAGGAAGAGGCTGTGGCTGGAGAGGAGGCTGTCCAGCTCGGGCAGCAGGTCGTACACCAGCACGCCACCAGCTGTCAGCAGCTCTGGCAGTGCGTGCCTCTGGAAGGCGCTGCGGATGTCCAGGTAGTAGTTGCTCACCAGCTGCTGGGCCGCCTGCCGCGTCACGTCCACCAGGTCGTAGCGGAAGAGGGGGCTGGAGCCCAGCTCGGCGCTGGCGCTCAGCAGCAGGCGCCAGGCCTCGTACACATCGCTGGCGTTGTACCAGAGCTCTGTGTCCATGTGCAGCGAGGGCCGGCGCACCAGCGGGCTGCGGTTGTGGTTGACGCAGACGCCGGTGCAGTTGTACACGCTGCGGAGGAGCAGGCGCCAGGCGCTGGCTGCAGCAGCGTTCGGGGCGCCATAGCGGCGCTCGGCGTAGCGGGACACCCAGCTGGGGAGGTCGAGGGGCTCCTGCCGCCAGCCCAGCTCATTCATCAGCTCGTACACCATGTCGTTCTGCTCGATACCCTCAGGCACCAGCCCTGTGCCCACCATGGTGGAGTTGGGGAAGCGCCGAGCCATGAAGGGGCCATGGTTGATGGCCTCCACGGTGCCGAAGAGGCCGTGGTTGCCCCCGAAGTTGTGCAGCATGCACCAGATGAAGGGTTGCCCGTAGAAGGACTCTGTCCACTGGTAGACAGGTTTGGACTCAGCAAAGAGGTCAAGAACAATCATCTTGCCGAGGGGCACACCGTGCAGGAGGGCCCGCACCTGTGCCGGGTGCCAGAAGTCTGGCTGGTGCTGGAAGAGCCAGCCCTGCATCAGCCACAGCGCCTCGGGGTCAGCTGGGGATGGAGGAGCACAGGGTGAGGTCCCCTTCAGGCAGGGCCCACAGGTGTCCCAGGAGGCCCTGGGGCCACCAACCACCCCTCGTGGAAGGGGCTTTGAGGGTCTGGCACCAACGGGGTCTGTCAAGCACAGGCAGCTCAGCACTTGCATGGGGCCCACAGCCTCCTTCCCCAGCCCCAGTTATCCCACCTGGAGCCTCACAGCTGGGCCAGCACCGCACACTGACCCACCTCCTGTCATCGACCTGAAGACAGCATTGCTGACCCTCGAGAGATAGGCAGGGTCAGAGGAGAGGGGGGTCATCTCATTGAAGGTGTCGGCACTGTAGACGTGGTCTGTGCCGAATTCCTTGATCAGCTCCTTCAGGAAGAGGGTCCCGATCACCTGGAACATGGGGTCCTCCGGGTCCAGCAGGTAGATACATGAGTAGGTGCAGTCGAAGTGGCTCCAGCCCCCCAGGCGAGTGGCATTCACGCGTGGGAAGACCCTGTGCCAGAGGGCAGAGATGGGGATCAGGAGCAGGGCGGGACAGGAGCACTGTGCCCCTGCAGGGACAGTGCACCCTCTCAGGGAAGCTGCAGGTGGGAGGTGCCATAGGTGCCATTATGCCGAAGGTGTGACCCTGGAAAGGGCCCAGGGCAGAGCGAGGGCAGCACCTACCGAAGGATCCCCTGCGGCACATGGCCCGCGAAGGCTGGCAGCACTGTGGTCATCCCCAGCGAGCGCATCCGCTCCACGATCCGGTACTGGGAGAGAGAAGGAGGGAGAGAGCAGGGAGAGAGGAGCCCCACGCCTCCTCGCGAGAGGCTCTGAGAGCTGCTGGAGCTCGGGGAGGGACGCGGGGGTCCCCGAGGCTCCATGAGTGTGGCCAGAGCAGGGGGTGGCAGGGGTCTGCCTCGGACAGGCATGGCTGCCCCGGTACCTGCAGGTAGAGCTGCTTGAGGTGCCAGGCAGGCGGCAGCGGTCCAGCCCAGCGGCGGAGGTTCCCCATCCTGTTCCAGGCCAGGAACGCGGGGCCCGTGAAGTACTTGTCGATCTCCGACTGGTTCAGCCCGAGGTTGCGGTAAACCTGCGCCGGGTGCCGGGCGTCAGCCGGTCCCGGTGTCTCCCGGTCCCCGCCGTCCTCCCGGCCCCGCTCCTCACCCGCTGCCACACCGCCTCCTGCCCAGCGAAGGCCGGCGCCAGGTTGATGCCGCTCAGCGCCATCCAATCGATCTCCCGCTCCCAGCGCGCCCAGTCCCACCAGGCGAAGGAGTAGCTCTGGGCGCACACGTTCTGGTAGTAGCGGTACCTGCGGGAGCGGCGGAGGCTGCGCCCGGGCCGCCCCGCGCCCCCGGGGCCCCCGTTACATAACGGCGCCTTGTCCCGCGCTAACGAGGCGTGAGCGGCGCCGCGCGGCCCCGCGGCCCCGTTACCTGCCGTTACCTGCCGGGGGCGGCGGCGCGGATCTCGGCCCGCAGCCGCGGCAGCGGGTCGGGCAGGCGGAGCTGCGCCCCGGACCAGGACAGGTGGCAGCCGCAGAAGTCGCGCAGGTAGCGGTAGAGGCCGGCGGCCGCCGCCACGCCGCTGGAGCCCGTCACGGCCACGGCCACGGCGGCGCCGGGCGGCGACCACAGCCGGTACGCGTCGGGCCCGCCCGCCGCCAGCGCCGGCTCCACCGACAGCGACACGGCGGCGGCCCGCGGGCCGAGCAGGCGCCGCGCCAGCGCCCGCACCGCCGCCTCCTGCCGCGCGTCCCCCGCCCGCGCCGCCGCCGCCGCCAACAGGAGCAGAAACGGCAGCGCCAGCCCCGGTCCCGGGCCGGGTCCCAGTCCCCGCCGCGCTTCCATCGCAGCTTCCTTCCCCTGCGCCAGGCCCCGCCTCTCCCGGTACCGTCCCGCCTCTCCCGGCCCCGCGGCGCTGGGCGGGCCTGGCGGCGGGGCCGGGCCTGAGCGGGTACCGGGCACAGGGCGGAGCAGGGTTGGCTCAGTGGGCGGGCTCCGGCCCCTCGGCGTGGGGACATACCGGGCCAGGGCTGGGGACAGGCGCTGCCTGTGCCCCGGGGCCACCGCGGCCCCTTCCCCTCCCGCTCAGGGTGCACGGGCAGGGGGATCCCCGCGGGACGGGACCCCCGCCGGGCTGCCCGGCCGGGGCCAGTCTGGCACCGGCAGCTCCGGACATTTCGCGTTTCCCACCCGTGACGGCTCCCCGCCCCTGGGGCAAACCGGGCCGGGGCGGTCCCGGAGCATCCGCCAGCCCGGGCCCCGCTCCTGCCGGGCGGGGGCGCTGCGAGACCGGGCAGTCGGGCCGCCGCCGGTGCCCCGGGGCCGGGGAACGCCCCGGCTGCCCCAGCACCGCGCGGAGCGGGCCCGGGCCCGGCCTCCCCCTCCGCCCCGAGGGGCCCGGGCCGGACCGGCGGGAGGGAACCCCGCCAGGGAGCGGGGCGGGGGCGGGCTCGGGCTGCCGGGGTCTCTCTCAGCTCCAGGGCCATTCGTGGGCACTGCCAGGACAGAGCCCGGCTGCGGGGCGGCCCGGGGCACGGGCGGGGGAGATCGGGGCTCCCCGAACGTCCCCAGCTCAGCCCACGGGAGCCCCCAGGGCTGCCCTGTGGCCCCGGAGCCATGGAAACGGGCAGAAATATTGTGATTGCACTCGGGAGTGGTGCAAGAGCGCAGGGGAGCGGGTGAAAGAGGAGAGCATCCCCCGGGACTTCTGGTACCCATAGCGGTGGGAGAGCATCCTCCGGGACGGTGGGGAGCCGGCCCCTCGTCCGAGGGGGGCGGGACACTGGTGGTGGGGGGGCAATGCAGCGCAGCTCCTGCCCTGCCGGGACATCAGGAGACGGGAAACACAGCGACTTCAGCAACACAATCGCCAAAACCCCGCAGAACCGTCCCTTCCGCTGCTCCCGCACATGTGGAAGAAGCCCTGCGGCAGGAAGGGCCTGAGTAAACACGCCGCCCCCCGGGGGGAAGCAGGGGGTCCCTGCGGCTGGGGGGGCCGGGAGCAGGGCACAGCCCCGGGCATGCAGACCGTGTTGCCCCACTCCCTGTCAAGAGCACCCACAGCACCCGGGTTAATCAAGCTGGAGCTTTTCCTCCTGCACAACTCCTCGTTCCACTGTTTTTGGGTTTATCGGGGTGGGCAGGAGGTCCCAGGACAAACGGCCCCGGCCTGGTCTTCACTCAGGATGTCACCAGGGCTCGATAAGCGCAGAGACATTGCAGCCCGGGCAGGGTCACTCTGGTCTCACTGTACAAACCAGCCCTGCCCACCCCCTGGTTGTGGCCATGGGGGTAACAAGGATCCTAGGCAGGAACACCAAAGGTCCCAGATGCCCCCAGCAGCTTTTGGGGCTCTGCCCAGTGTCAGTCAGGGATGAGGGGCTGTCCCAGAGCCCCCTCAGTGAGTGCAGAGAAAGCAGAAAACAGACCAAGCACTTGTTGTGCAGTTCATTTAATTTATACAGTGACTGTCAGCAACTGTCAAGCATTTCATCCAGATAGCGGGACACACCAGGTCTTGTGTCAGTGCTCCACCTGCAGCTCCACTTTGATTTCACCCTTCAGTCTGCAAACAGGTCTGTAAACACACCCCAGTGAGCACCCAGGGGCTGCCCAGGTGCAGCATGAAGGTCCCTGTGCCCTGCACACGTTGCAGCATGCAGTGCACACGTACCTTTCTCACCTAATTTTAGGCAGCCCAGTACCTTGAGGCATATCCTCCTCACTTCCAGGTTAATGATTCTCATTTTTGTTCTAATCTGTTCATATACAAATATTCAGCTCCACTGTGAGAATTAAAGACGATGGTTGCACACAGCACTAACACCCCACTGCTGCTACAGCTACATCGAGTGGAGGAGGGCAAGGAATTACTGACAGCTCAGGCAGGAGAGAAAGCAACAGATACTGCAGGGACACACCACCGAGACCTCCCTGGGCCTCTGCTCCCCCTTAAAGTGCTCCTCAGACCTGGAGTGCACAGGACAGTGTAAGCTACTGGTCCCTCCACCTGTGCAAAAGCTGCCTCCACCAATGCCAAGTCCATACAGGCACTACCCAACGTGCCTCGAGGGCTTTGCAACCTTTGGCTTTAAACCAGAAACCCCAGAAGGTCCACTGCCAGTGGCAGTACCTGCGGTGAGAGATGACAGTCAACACCACAGCTCGTCCCTCCCCATCCAGCCCCAGGCCACAGCCAGGCCTGAGCCCTCTTCCCACCACAGCCTCCAGCAACATGAGGGGGAGCAGCCCTCACTCTTCTGGAGCTGAGGTTCTTAGGTCTTTTCTCCTTGTACTGGTTTGCCCCCTCAGCACAGCTACATTTCTCTTCTGCCCTGATCAGCTGCCAGGGAATGCACAACACAGGGAGCACACAACTGCACACCAAACAGACACATCATGCACTTGGTATCTTCGAGAGTAAACATAAGGAACAAAAAAGTTTCTGTGATCCAGTGTCACCCGTTACCCCAGAACATCAAAGCTCGTGGCTTTGGGATGCCATGGTAACGCTCAAGAGTGCTGCAATAAGTTACTGTCACTATGGGGGGGGTTACACACAACTCACATAGAAGGAGGGGAGGGTCAGTCACACACATGGTGTTGGGGGGGTCAGTCACACACACACACGGTGTTTAACACTGCTGGAGTGTGTGGGGGGGGCTCAGTCATCAAACCTCCCCTCACGGATGGTGTCAAAGGAGAAAGGGAGAAACTTGAACCCAGTACCAGTGTAGAACTTGTTCTGGAACTCGATCCTGCAAGAGAGGGAAGAGCAATCGCTCATTAAAAAGGCAGCTCTCAACAAGAGCAGTTAGCAAGAACTCTGTTAAAAGTATGATTACTGGCTATAAAAAAATAAAGCTTTAAAGAGAAAAAGAGGTGTTATAATATAATGTACCTTTTGGGATGAACCTCCCATCTGTGTGCGATGTTTCAGTGTGGGGCAGAGAACTGTCCACGGACTTAAATCCCACTCCCAGGGGCAACAAAAGGGCAAGAGAACCAAGAAGCCCACCCTGCTTGTGGTGTCCCAGGAAGCACAGGGAGCACACAGCATTTTCTACACCAGCTTGTTGCTAAAGTTCCCTTTCCTGTGTGAGCACAAGCCTCGGCCGCCTGACGCTGAGCTCAGACTCCCCCACCAGCCGCTGCTGTTTATCCCCTGTGGCACATTTGGTTCATCCCCCCCACAGGCACTTGTGCTGGGATGTGCCTGCTGGCTCCAGCCGAGCGTTAGCAAAGCCCCATTTGCTGCTGCTGCCCCTAATGAACTCGGGTAAAAAAAAAAGAATTATTCTAGAGAACTGCCCAATGGTCAGCGACAGCCAAATAGGGTCAGGGAAACTAATCCCCTGATTCCCAGAAAAAACAAGCCTGGGCTTCACAGACACTTTACATTGCATGATCTGCTGGAAAACAAAGTCTCTGCAGGCAGTAAGTGACAGCAAACTGGGGAGCATTTAACACAGCTGAGGAGAAGGATTTTTATGCAGCAAAAAAAGGACAAACTTGAATTATTTTTCCCCATGGCAAACTCCAGAGCTGCTGGCTTTAGCTGGCAGAAAGTGATTTCCCCACAGAGCCCAGGAGACAAATGCTCAGAAAAAAACCAGCCTTATCTTGTATCTGCTGCTGCCTCGCAGGCCAAGGGATCCCCAGGATGAGCAGGATTTTCCGTGTGGGAGGAAGGGCTCCTCGCCAACCTGCTCCAGTTTTTCAGGAACCCTGATAATCTCCATAAATATCCTGTGACTAAATAACTGTTCTGTAAGCAAAGGGAAATGAGAGGCAGAGGGTTGGGTATCTGAGTCACCCAAACCCACTGTAACTGAAATTTTAACCCTGATGATTCACAGTTCCAGCTGGCCCTGACATCCAAACACTCCCTTTGGACACTTACAACTGGAGGCCCGATGATGGAGAGGCTGCTCTTAGGTTAGAGAACCAGTGAGAAAAGCATATTTAACCAAATAATCACAGCATAAACAGTCAGTGGGGTTTTCTGCAGTTGTCTCCAGGAATGTCCAGAACCCAGCACAAGGCACTACTGTTACCAGGCTCTGTCTGTCACATGTCCCAGTTTATTGCTAAACTCTCTGTGTCTCCCATCGGTGACCAAGGTCTGCAGAGGATTTAGAGACAGTGAGCACTGTCAGCAAACAGATCAGGAGCTCTCTGGCAGCAGTGCTACAGCAAACCCACTCTGCAGCTTTTTGCATTAATCATTAGTGTCAGTGTTTGCTGGACTGCAATCCACTTCTGTGGATTTTCCAACTGCACAGAGTCAGGGTACCCACACTGGAAAACCAGGCAGCTCCAGTCCTATGAGCAGGAGCAGCTGCACAGGCAGCTGTGGAACAGGAACCCCGACTGTCACTTGGTACAACTGCAAATTCCCACTTGGTGTTTGTGTTCCTAAAGGCAGGTGCCAGAGCCTGGGGTCAGGTGTTACCCAGGCACACTTTGAGAGGGGTGACCTCCAGCACACCCGACAGTCAGAACCCACTGAGGTGTCTGTGCAGAGACTGTTGCAGTTACTCCTTCCTGAAAAGGCACTGCAGGAGATTCCATCTTGCCTGACAGGAGGCTGCACTGCCCCTTGGAGCAGCAGCTCCTGCAGCCACGCTGCAGGCAAGCACTGGCTTGTGACTCTTACAAAGGAAAATCAAATCCTGGCAAGTGAGTGGAGAGCTGGACTCTACCACTCCCACTCACTGGATTGAGAGCAGGATGCAGCTCCAGCACGCCAACACCTCTAGGGAAGCAGCACTCTGAATACAGTTTTAAACTTCTCCTTTTGGGCACAGTCTGTGTTGGCTCACATGAGAAGAGCTGACTAGCTTAAAAGGGGGGAAGCTGCTTTAATCTGAACATTCACGTCAAACTGCATCACTGAAAAGCAAATGGAAAGGTAAACTATTTCAGGAGAGTTACAGTAAAAGGAGCTGACTGCACGACAGCTCAGACCAGTGCCGACCTGCACCGATGCACACCCAGCACTCTGGGTGCTGCCTCCACTCCAGACTGCCCTGAAAAACCCAGCCTGCTCGAAGAATGCACACTCAAAAAGCACAGAGTAAACCTCCCTCATTTGGGACTGCCAGGCACAGCACATGGAACAACCTGGCACTCCCTCACCAGTAAAACACATGCTCAATTCCTCCTCCTTTCCAGGACGGCTGAGCCACCCACACCTCGAATTCCTGATAGGTGACTCTTCTCCCACAGCCAGAAAATCCCATCTGCTCTTCCCAGGACAGCTGTATTTGACCCTCGCCCCCCCTTCCTCCTCCTAAAAAGGGAACACCTGCCATTGGAACACCCTGTTTTTGCTTCAGGAGCAAAAAGGAATGTGAACAGTGTGTTCTTTGGAACAACTGAAGGTGCCTCCCTGTGATAAGCAACACAGCAAACATAAAATCATTTCAGCAGATCACTTGCAGTCTGAAATAGAGCCTTAAACTTGGTGTTTGGGCTCTGAGCCTGAACAGACTTTCTCTCAGAGCGTGTACATGATAGGCTTGCAAGTCTGAAAAACACATTTAGGGAAAACAGGACTTTGATAAGCACTGCAGTTCTGCAGCCAGGCCGTGCCCTGCACTGGTCTGCCGGGCTGGAGTGATTCGTGTGCCCACTGCTGCTGCACCTGGGTTTCCCTGTTTGCCATTTCACTGACTTATGTCTTCTCTTGACACCTTCACAGATGATTTTTTAATGTCCCTTTAGGAACAGCCTGGCAATAGGAGCAGCCACCTCCTGCCTGAACCATGACCTCCAGCCTACACCTGTTCCAGGTATCTGTGAGCTGTATCCATAGGTGCAGATTGTGGTTATTAACACAAGACAGGTACCTCCCCAAAAACATGCTTTCTGCTCCGAGCCCATGCCTGTGGGTGCCAAAGGAGCCAAGCAGCCTGCCCAGAGCCAGCTGCTCAGAGCTGTTCCCCAGCTGCTGCTCAGAAACAGCCGTGCAGCTCCACAGCCCAGAGAGGCCAGACCCTGGAAATCCTCTAATCCACAAGGAATTGCAGAGCAAACCCACCACATCTGGAGTTACAGCACTGCTGCTCTCTGCTCCCCTTGGACTGCTCTCAGTGCCTGGCAGGGTCTGCAGGGCTCCTGCTGTTGCTGCTGCAATGGCCCCGCGGTGACAGCAGGGAGAGGGTGAGGGCCCTCTGTCCAGCCAGAGAGGAGCTCTCGAGTGACTGCTAGGGAGGGTTCAGGCTGGATGCCAGGAAAAACAGAGGCACCATCCAGCAGCCATTTCCAGCAGTGCCCCCCCTGCTCCCTCGGCACAAGATGGCTTCGCCCCGGGATCCCGGGGTGAGCTCAGCTCACCCGGCTACAGGGACACAGGTGGGCCAGGACCCCCCAGCTGCCAGTGGAGAGGGCAAAAGGCCAAAGTTTTCCTTCCACACAAGCAGGGGAAAAGTCCAAAAAGGCTGATTTTCTTTCCCCTTTTTTTTTTAAAGGCATTGCAACTTTTGCACTTACAGAACTACTTTCAGAGAGTGCTCCCAACCTTTTCTTCCCATTTAAGCAAGACAGAATATTCCTTGTGATCTGCATGGGACTTCCCTTTGCACTTCTGACCCCCCAGGAAATCAGCAGCCTGAGGAGGTGGCAGATGCTTGAACCCTACAGAGGCACAGACTCTCCTACGCTTCAGGCTGAGCAAACCCCACTCCCAGTTGCTCCTTTGATCCCACCAGTCCACTAACCAGGCAATCTGAAGTGGAACAATAAGTGCTCTTAAACATGGATTAGAGAAAGCTCTTGAACACTTTCCATACTTGGGAGCAGAGGAATTCCTTCTGCTTTGCTGGCTGCATACACAGGAGCTCAGTGATCATGGGAAAGGAGCTGCAAAAGCATCTGCAAAAAGCAAGACCAGCAAAAACTCGCTGCCATCCCACAGCACCCTGAGGGCAGAGGGCAAAGCCACTCCTGTCCAAGGCAAGGTCTTATGATGATGAATAAGAGCATGAGAAGGAAATTGCAGTCAGTGAAGTGCACGTGAAAGACAATAAACACAGGAACCAGGGAAAAGACCAAAAGACAGAACGAGAAAGTCCTGCCCAAAGCCACAAGCACGCTCATCTGCCCAGATCTGCCCAGAGCATCCCTACTCCCCAGTCCCAAAGCTTTGGTCTTAAAGCCTTAGCCTTTTAGTGCTTATTTTTAAGCAGAGCTCAGTTACTCTCCACAATTTCTACGCAACAATCAAGAGACAGGTGCTGTTCTACCAACAGGATTGAAATCTGACTCTTTTAAAGACTTTCTGCCTTCTAGAAAGTGCCTTTCTGCACAGTCCAGGTGACATCTATTTTGCTATGAAGAGCTCCCCAAGTTTCTGGACGTCCCAGTAACTCACCAGTGCAAACGCAGAGCGTGGAGGAAGGCTGAGAGCCCCTCCATGACCAGCAGAATGGCCACTGTCAGGGTGGCAAAAGCAGCAAAGATGAAGAAGAGGCCAAGGCCTCCCCCCAGGCTCCTCACACTGAGGCCAATGTGGATCACCATGGTCCAGAGCACCTCCGAGAGCTCTGCCAGAAGAAAGGGGAGGAGAGGGCTTGTGTCAGTGGGAACTAAAGTCAATCAAACTAAAGTCAACCAAAAACTGAAGTCAACCAAACTTCCACTACAATGAGGTGGGAAACTGAAAAGGGGCCAGAGCTTTTACAGCTGAATGTGTCAGGACATTGCCTCCAGCTGTCACACAGGGCAGGGCAGAGTGCTTGCTCAGCAGCTCTTTGCTTATTCCGTGTCTTTAGCTCCCTCCCTCCCGTTCAGCAGAGCTGTGGGAGCAGACCCTGTGTGCAGCTCACTGCTCCCAGCTCACACACACACAGCGCTGTCCCGTGCCAGCTGAGCCCCGAGAGGCCCCTCGTGTCCCTGCCTCCCCCTGTGTGGGGGGAGCAGGCACAGGGACCCACAGCTCACCCCGGGAGGGACACTCACGTGCGTGGGCCAGGCTGAGGGCCCAGAGCCGCAGGTAGGATGCGGTGTTGGAGATGCAGCCCAGGCAGTACTCGATGGTGTGGATGGCCTGGTACACCACGGTGTCACCGAAGTCGAACTGCAAAGGGAACACAGGGTGAGGGGAGCTGGGAGCCCGGCACGGGCCAGCCAGGCAGGGACACGGGCAGGGGACCTGCTGCTATCGCCAGGGACACCATGTGTGACGCTGCACACTGACACTGTCTGCTCCTGGCTCAGCACGTCAGTTTTATAAATGCAAAAACGGATCTTGTCTCGCCAGGTTTTGCAGAGCGACAAACGCTGTGACTTGAATATTGTTTTCACATTCTAGCGTGTGGAAAGTCAGATATTCCAAATCCATCCACGGGCTCAGCCAGGAAAAGACTGTTCAGCAGAAGATGGCGTTGGTGTGCATTCCCCAGTACCTCAGAGGTGCCTCTACAGGAAGGAGACAGTGCTCCAAGCTGTACAGTGTGTGCCTTTGCTAAAGGAGCAACAGGAGCATTTTGCAAGATATGAACTCGCCCTTTTTGAAAGCAAAAATAATGCATGAAGCTATCCTGAAAAAGTCACATCTGTGCACCATTCACTGGCAAAGTCTCTGTGTCTTGGTAATTTTCTGCAATAATAAAAGAACTTACAAGGAAGTCTACCATGTAGTGCAGTTTCTTATTCTGCAGCTTGGGAAGGCATTCCCTGCATTTTGGATTTAATCCATGCTCCAGAAACTGCTCAGATTTAAGTGAACATGATCTTTTAAATACATCCAGTGACTAATGCTCTAGGCATGAACACAAAGCTATTTATATTCTTATTTCTCCCCCAGTATACCCAAGGCAATAAATATTTCAAACAATTCAGTTAAATTAGCTGTCAAAAGCCTAATTCTTTCTGCACAGAACGTGAGCTGTGAAGTTCTTCAGTTCCAGCTCCCGCACACACGAGCCGGGCGGCAGCTCCGGGAATGTGGGAAATGTGAAATGTTTAAACAATGACTGTTCACAGCCCCAAGTGCAACTGCCTGAGAGAACGACCACTGTGCCAGGAGTGGGAGCACTGGGATTGCTGTGGCACAGCCCTTGTGGGTTTACCCATTTTCCCCAGGTTCAGGGAGGTATCAGGTACACCAGCACGCTGCCCCATGCCCCCCATTCCACATGGGCCTGTGCACAGCAGAGCTCTGAGCAAACCACTGTCAGCACAATTTCCAGCAGCAGTGCCCTGGTCAAGCTGCTCTGATTTCCATGGCATTTGCAATTTTTGTAATAAAATTGGTTACCTGATAGTGCTGAAAGCTATACTCAATCCTGCATGAGTACTGCTAAACCCATTTTTTAAATAATTGCTACAAGTGCTTATGGAAGAGCAGTTTCTCAGAATGGAGCTTCTCTTTTACACAAAGCCTCTGCCCAGTTCAGCTGCTGAACTACATGAAACTGGACTGGTTGTGCTGTATTTGCTCACTGAGTCAACCAGTGTCATCCTTAACCTGGCAGATAGTTTGGGGAAAAAAGCTCTTTAAACAGTTTCCTGCAGCACAGAATTACCAAAGACACAACATAAGGCAACCGAGACTTCTCCAGAGGCTCAAAAAGTGAAAACTTTTCAGTTTCAGACCTCCAGCTTAGCAGCTTCCCAGGTAACTGGGAATGACCTGCAGACAGGGGATCAGACAGACAAGCTGTACAGATAAAGTAATTAAAAGTCTGTTAATGTATGCATGTATGAATTAAAAACGGCCTGCAACATGTATACAGGAAGATCTTTTTGAAAACAAGATGCTGTGACATAACATGTTCAATTCAGCACGTTTTACATCAATGGGAAATGGCCCAGGTACACATGAAGGCAAAGCTGCTGTGCTCTTACCACCTCGTCCTCTGTAGGCTTGAAAACATAAATTTACATTTAGTTCAGTGTCTCGATCACATTAATCATGAACACATTCAGCAATTCCCTCCTAAACACGCCACGGAAAGCAGTAACACATCCCATGCACTACAGAGGCAGGATCTGCTGCAGTCGCTCAGAGGCATCAGAAAACTCCCAAACTATGTGAGATGACTGCTCTTCTCCTCTCCCAGAGGAAAGGGAAGTAATTAATATTACCCCCAGCAGTCAAAATGAATATATAAACGTGATTTCAGCGCTTCAGAAATACAGCCCCTGGATTTCCAAGGGCGTGGGAGAAGCAGGTAACATGTACCACCTGGGAGTGCTGTGCACCCCTGAGATGGTGGCTCCTTGTCATGGGGACAAACAGAGCCACATCTCCCACGATATGCAAATTATGCTGCTTTTTCTGGAGTCCCAGGA